GACAATTTTGTCGAATTTTGCAATTTCCGCCGATTAAATTTTAATAATTCGTATAAAATCGATTTCTTGGAATATGAGTATGAAAATTGCCACAAAGTGTTAATAAAAGCATCCTCTTTCCAATGAACCAACCCGTGTTGAAAAATAACTTTTTGTTTTTGAGAAAAACACATTTGAAATTTTGATAAAATTTTCGATGTTGTAATTTTCATCGATAACTTTCAAAATTCGCTATAAAATTAATTTCTTGAAGGATCCTTGTGGAAATACCACCAATTATTAATTAAAGTATCCTCTTTTTAATGCAAAAAAATCACTTTCAGTTTATGAGAAATAAGTTTTTGAAATGATCGACAATTTTGCAATTTTCGCCGATTAAACTTAAAAATTCGTATAAAATCCATTTCTTGGAATATGAGTACGAAAATTTCCCAAAGTGTTAATAAGAGTGTCCTCTTTCCAATGAACTAACCCGTTTTGAAAAATAGCATTTAGTTTTTGAATAAATAATATTTGAAGTTTTGATAAAATTTTCGATATTGCAATTTTTATCGATAACTTTCAAAATTCGTTATAAAATTAATTTCTTGAAGGATCCTTGTGGAAATATCGCCAATTATTAATTAAAGTATCCAAAATCTCTTGATCTATGCTTTCGAGGATTTCGATTTGCACTGTACATAAGACGATAGAAAGAGAGAACTCACGTTCAAGCAAAAAGTGGCCGAGATGAAACACGTTACAACATATATGAAGTTGTTACTGCTTATTTATTAATTTATAGGCGCAAAAACAAACAGAGCTAATATTATAAAGGTAATACTAGGTCCCCAGATAAGAAGAAAAAAGTAACAGAAGCGCGTATTTACCAAGAAAAACACCTTAAAACGGAGCACGATTGAAAGTGCACTACACTGGTAATAATAAAGTATTGCTCCAAGGTCTTGTTCCTTTATGTCGGTAGGTGTCAAAAGAGCTTTACCGAAAATGTTGTGTCTTAGGCGGTCTCTGGCAACGCAATTACACAGTATAGGTTAAGCCGTTTCTGACTCGTCATTGCAAAGTCGACAAGTTTGATCCTCAGCTTGTTGAATGTGGAAGAGGTGGTATTTAGGGGCGCATGACCGGTCAGCAAACCTGAGAGCGTCCTTAGATCCCCTTTGCTGAGGCATAAAACCTCTTTGGTTTTGTTTTGCGACGGAGTTATCATACTCTTCGCTTGCCTGTGACCTGAAAGATCTTTCCAGCATAAGCCTACCTTTGAGGCCTCCCTACTGTTGATTATTTGTTTTAGGTGGCTTTTTTGTTGTCCACAACCTTGTTGGAGGTCCAATAAAGGGCGTTTTCACTGACAGATAAAACCCAGTTTCATATTGTACACGTTATACACATACAAGTTAGGGTTTGCATACACAGTTTTGCCATAAACTCTCAATTAAAGACAGTTGGAGCTACGTGACGGTATGTGTAGGGCAGTTATCTATACTACTATGCACGGTATACCAAACTAACAATGGACGACGACGATCTGATAGCTGTACTTGGCTTAACACTTGTTCTACAGAATAGAAAAAGAAGAAGAGCTCGCTCGGAATGGTGTGAACGCTGGTTATTAAAAAGAAAGCAGTTCTCTCACGTAAATTTGTTAAATGAATTGAGATTTACACCAACAGATTACAAAAATTATTTACGAATGGATGAAAATCTTTATTTGAAACTGTTATCATTGATCACTCCGTTAATACAAAGACAAGATACTGTTATAAGATATGCAATATCAGCACATGAGAGACTAGCAGCAACATTAAGATTTCTTGCTACAGGAAGAACATACGAGTATCTTAAAGTGTCATACGAGTGCGATGGTGCACGCGCACGACCTTCCACCGTCGCAGACAATAAACTGAGAACCACTGAAAACTGAGAACAATCTGAGAAATCTGAGAACTTTGCACGCAAGTTCGCCGGACGCCACACACGCCTGGTTATGCATGCACGCAAACGTAACCGAGCGGCAGAAAATATCAATTTTGATATTTGCTTGGTTGCATGTACATGCGCCGATAACTATACAGTTTTATCACATACACACTAGGGTTTGCCTGTCGGTTATGCATGTAAGGCTAAAACCATCATGCAAACCCTATGGTGTATGGCCTCCATAAGGCGGCCATAAGACTGTCTGTGACAATGTTTATGGATGCACCTTTCTATCTCTTCTGTAGGTTCAAAGCGGTGCAGAAGTTTATAGCAAGAACTTCTGCTTGAAAAATGGTTATGTCCGAGCTGAGGGACAGTTTAATGTGGCTATTTGGTCCACTGATGCACATGCCTACTCCGGATCTAACTGTCTTTGAAGCATCGGTATACCAGGCTAGGGCTCCTGTTTTTAGTTGAGAGCCACCTTTCGCCCAATCATTCCTGCTTCTAAATATAACCTTATACGGCTGATTGAAATTGTATTCTGTCGGCATAAGGTCCGTTTTAATTTTAATCAGGTGATTTAGACATGGGTTCTTGAGGATTTCGAGGTGTCTCTTTTTGTATATATAAATGGAGTGGTGTGAGACTGAGTAGGGCTTCCAAAGCAAACGTCAGACAAGATCTCATTGCACCCGTTATATTAAGACATGCTAACCGCTGGATTTGTGGTAGCTGTTGTTGTGCTCTTATGTTTTGTTTTTGGCCACCAAACCAGTGAGGCGTAGGCGACCATGGATCTGATTATTGCTACGTAGGCAAAATGAGCCATTCGTGGTTTGAGACCCCAGTTCGTTCCTAGGAGCCTGTGGTCTAAGTGTGAGTTTAGTCTTCCAGTTTAGTTTACTGTCTAATATTACCCCTAAGTATTTAACTTCTGTTTTGAAGTTAATAGTTCTGCTTTCAATGAAGGGTGCTTTTATTTGTAGCTTCCTTTTCCGAGTAAAAGGGACTATTTTTATTTTATTTGGATTGATGCTGAGCCCATTGCTTCTACACCAAGCACTGGTGAGTAGTAGGGCTTTCTGCATTAGTTGAGTTATGATTGTATCATATTTACCTCGTATTGTGATTACCAGGTCATCAGCATACTCCTAAATCTTAAATCTATTTTTTGTTAAGGTGTTCATCAACTACCAGGCACCACAGCAGAGGTGATAGCACTCCCCTTTGGGGACATCCTCTTAGCGCCTTAATAGTCAACGACTCGTCTCCCAGACTGGCTGGATCGACTGGCTGCCGAGTTTTCAACATGGTTATACACCATTTGATCGTCGACGGATGTATATCTTTTACGTTTAGAGCATTCATAGGAGGTGTTATCAAACGCACCCTCTATGTCTATGAAAGCACATGATTTTGCTTTCTGGTAAGCATGGTGACAAGCACTCCATTCCTAAAGTGTTGATCAATTACCTTTTCCATCTCTTTGAGGAGAAATGAAGTTAGGCTAATTGGTCTGTATGCCTTGGTATGAAGACCACTTTTACTTTCTTCTATAGTGTGGGTATATAGCTAAAGCTGTAGCTAGCTATATATAGAGATATTATTACTGGGAGCAGGTCTTCTAAGCCTTTTTGCAAAAAATAGGCAGAATTCCATCTCCTCCAGGCAATTTTAGAGGCTTGAAATTAGAAATAGCCCACCTTACTCTGTTGGGTGTAAAAATGTTCCCAGCTATGCTGCGAACCCTACCGAGGTATGTCTGTTACTTCAGGGTCGGCATATGCGTAGGGGCAGACTTTTGAGGAAGGACAGTGTATACTCAGTAAGAGCTCCAACGATTCCTTAGCATCCTCGGTGTATATCGAACGGTATTGCGATTGCCCCCATATAATTGCGAAATATGGATTGAATTAATATGGGGGCAAATAAAAGGAGAAGTTGCAAGAAATAATACAACATTTAAAATGAAAGATCTGCACCTATTATTTGAACAAACTGTAAGCAATGTTTCTGCAGATAGTTGGAGGAATGCTATTCGTCATGCCAAAGGCGAGCAAGAAAAATAGTGGCAGGTTGACAATTTAATGGAGGTCAGAATGGAGCAGCTAGCAATTAACTTGAGGAATGATTCTTCCTCGGAAGAAGAAATTTCCCCCAAAACTGATTCGAAATGAATCAGATCACTCCAATTTACAAAATTTCTACTTTATACAACGAAGTGATCACAATATTATTTTGTGATACGATGTATAAAACATCGTAAAACATTATTTAACAGTAAAGCTATACGCATAAGGTAGTGCGAATAATTCTACCATCTTTTATTTATTGTTAAAATTATATAAAAGATACTTAAAGAATACTTATATTTCCATATGTTATTTTGTACTTAGGTACAACGTTTATTGCATGTATAATATAGTATACATAATCAAAGGGCAGAGGGCCAAAGGGCATTAAGCCAATATAAAAACATAAAATTATATTTTTCTATCGATCCCTAGGATTATTGACGACCACTGATTTACACTATTAAATTTCCAAATAAACTTTGAAATGCACTTTCGACACCTAACCTAACTGCTGGTAACTATTATTTTTATAAAAATATTCACACAATTAAGCAAATTTGAAATTACACATAGCCTGTGTAACTAAAATCACACTGCATGCTTATATATTCAATTTTCTTTCTGTGTATGTATATATTTTTTGTATGTGTGAAACTGGCTATTGTGTAATAGTGGGTGAAATAAGCGTGGCTTCGCTCAGGTTACACTGCATCTGTTCGGTGGACAGAATATAGTTTTTATAGTTTTAGTGTTGAGATAAAAATAAATAGTTAGTCTATTAAAACTAGTCTATAGAGTAGAAAGAAAAGGGAAATGATTTTTAAAATAATCAATCAGCTTGTCTTCTAAAAAAATACACATATTTATAACAAATAATTTATTTTCTATCTTTTTAAAAATAAACATAAAATTAATAATCCGACGCTTAAAGTGTTAATCAAAAAATATATCACCGTTTACCTTACTTTAATAATATCTTAAGATAATTATCTTGAAAAATAATTAATCATACCTTTTTAAAACTCGTAATTTTAAATCTCCATCCGGTGCATACATAAAAGTTACTTTATATTCTAAAGGATCATGATGAAATTCTAATTTATAAGATCGAATTAACTAAAAAAATATATAAATATTTAAACCAAAAAAAAAACAAAAATAAAAAAACATTTATTACCTTAGCTAATAATATTTGTATTTCTAAATCCGCAAATCTCCTCCCAAGACACATTCTAGCCCCATATCCATAAGGTAACGATGCAAAAGGATGTATTTTCTCTTCACTGTTTTTTAACCATCGTTCTGGTTTAAATGTTTCTGGTTTTGAAACGTATTCAGGCATACTCCCTGTTACTAATGTTGGAAAAACTACTTGAACCTAATTAAAATAAATATAATTTTCGTTGTAATTTTTAATAATAATTTAAATTTACTCCTTTTGGTATATGATATCCTTGTATAACAGTATCTTGTTGCAACGTCCTCCCATTTCCAATAACGGTTGAATAAACTCTAAAAACTTCTTTAACAAAACTTTTTAAATAAACCATTTCATCGAGAAGTTTTGGAGTTAACGGAGTTTTTGGATCGGGTAAAATTCTTTTTAACTCGTGGTAAAGTTTTTCTTGTTCTTCCGGACGAGTGGCTAATTGGTAAAGAATTGAACAAACCGCCATGGATATCTTAAAAAAGTTATAATTTTAATTGCGGATAATCTTTTTTTATTAAATAAATACTGTGTCAATTCCAACGAAGATTAAATCTAGCGCTAAAACGTAAGCAGTTTTTTTATCCGGTTCATCTGCCAAAATTCGTTCTATTAAAGATAATTCGTTATCAGATTTATTCGTTTTCTTTTGAAGACGGTCCATGGCTTCATCAATATATTTAGTACATATCCTATTTATTTATTAATTATGTGTTAAGGTTGGGAAGATATTTTTTTTTTTATTAAAACTTACGATACAAAATAATCCATATTTTGAACATATTTTTTCCAAATATTCGATGGGAAGTATCTCCAAAATGGAAATTTTAATTCTAAAATTGCTATATTTCTTAACGCGTATTTAGCGGCGTTTATTATTTTTTGTGGTTCAGAATTTGGGCTTAAATTTGGATCTAAACATCCCAAACGAACATCCATTGACACTAATCCAATACCTATTTTTTAAATTAAATATAATAAATTAGATGAGTTAGGAGTTAGGTGAGTTGTTATGAGCGACAAAGTGTTTTTTTGAATAGCTTAGGAATTAAACTCAATTTTATGGGAGGTTTCGAACAAACTGAAATGAAGAAAGAAATAGTACATAAACGGTGTGTTATATACAGTAGTAAGGATGGAATAGGTAATCGTCTTTAATACTATTTCTCAAGAAAGCTGTATGATGGCATCATTTTGTATAAAATGTTCCGGAGACTTAAATAGCCCCCTCCATCGGATCTCCGGTGGAGGGGATCAGAATGGACATATGCAAAAATATTCGCGTCAGCACATAGAATGAACGAGCCCATAAATTAAAGTTCCTGAGCCATTCCGAAACTCACAGCGGTTACTTCAATACTTCTCAGGGCTCCACAGTATATTTTTTGGGAAATACGAACGAGAGTCGCAACGGAGCTACGCTACTACTTCCCAAATCAAGAGCGGAACACGCAATCATGTCAACGATAGAATGATTGTAGTTAAAATTCAAGCTAAGCCTTTTAACCCCGATTCCAGCAACAACCTCTACGGTCTATTGGGGAGAATCTACACAAGAGTTACCCAAGAAGGAAATTCTGGTAGTCCAGAGTGCTATGCAACGCCGTTGATACTTACAGAAATGTGGTAGGAAAGTTTACATTGGATGTAAGAAATGAACACAACGAATCACCGGCATACAGATTCAGAAATTAAATTGATTTCAAATCAGGAATCATCACTGCCTCTTCCCGGATAAAGGAGGAGGCTTGAGCTATGGGCTATAACCCATTCCTTTATTTAATGAAATAAAGAAATACAACCTAACAATCACAGCCATACCAGAAACCAGATGGCTAACAATTATACAGTGTGTCCGTAAAGTAACGGATATAGGCGATAAAATCATTATAAACGGTTTATGGAAAAATCTCTGAAACGGGTCTAAAGAATTAAATTTTTTGCAATTGTTTGGTGTGGATTTTAAATTTCTTCCGCCATTTTTAAGCGAGTTATGACGTCATCGGTATTTTTTCAAATGGCAATCCCTCTAATACAGTCAATATTAATATTGCTTACATAAGAAAATTTTCGAGAAAAATTACTTTAAAGTTTAACTACTTCAGATTTGTTAGCATGATGAAAATGGCAGTAGCCATGAGTAACTATGGTAACCAATTATTTTAAACAATTTCCTAAGTGTCAAAAACTGATGTAGTAAGTAGTTGACCTCTTTAATACAACATATCTTGATCGCCAACTCATTAGCCAAAGTATGGTGAGCCTAGCTGTGACTAAATTTAAACAGCATGGCCATCTATCGAAGTCTGGCCTACTAAATATTGCAAGGGAAGTTCAACAAATCGTGGTTTTGGCTGGGCAAGAAAACCCGTCATGTTACTGTAAGGAGTATTGGGTCTAATTTCGACATTAGTAAATCAACGGTTCATAAAATTTTAAAACCCGCAAAATATTATTCCCATAAAGTAAACCTGATTCACGAGCAATGAATCGTAGTTTTTGCAACAACAATTTTACAACGATGACGAAGACTTTGTCAAAAACATAATTTTTTCGACGACATTTACATTGAGTGGACAAAACAACAAACACTTACCTTTAGATTGACAGCTACCAGACCAACTATCGTTCGTGCACAAGAATTGATACAATCTTTAGATATGGCATTATCTCAGGTACTTACCTACGAATATTCTGAAGTGCCTCCATGGTTGTTGAATCCCATTAAAGCTAGGTTGGACCTCACTAAATTTTCCAAATCAAACGCCCCCCATGCAATGTTTCTTGCTGATTTTCACAACATAGTGCATACTTACCCTGGATGCCTTTTGTGTTTACACTGATGGATCAAAAAAAGAAAACGGTGTTGGTAGTGCAATATCAGTCGGTAATACAGAACATTCCTGGTCGCTTCAACCATGTTCCTCAATATTTCTTGCAGAGTTATATGCAATATTAGAAGCACTACTATACATAAATATGAACCTCAATAACCGCAATTTTTTAATAATAAGTGATTCGCTTAGTAGTATCAAATCCTTACAAAACCTGTACACAAAAGAAGTAATGCCACAACAAATCTTAGGCACACTAGACAGCATCACAAAACAAAATCATGAAGTAATATTTATATGGGTGCCAAGTCCCGTTGGAATTGGGGGGAATGAACGTGCTGTTTGTGCAACATCCGAGGCTGCAGATAAAGCAACAATGGATGTGAACTTTTGCAGACATAAAGATATTGCAAAACATGTAAGATCCTTGATTTATAACAGCTGGGAAGAACAATGGCAAAATACTCCAAGTTTCTTGAGAAAAATCAAACCCCAGGTCTATCGAATAAGTTCCGAAAGGGAATTAAGCAGGTCAGACATCATTGACTTCCAAATATATGTTAAAAGGGGAGCAGAGACCCATGTGTTCAAATTGTAATAGGGAACTCACTTTAGAACACATCATTGTAGAATGTACATTATATGAACAAGCAAGAAATATTTATAATATAACAAGCATAGAGTCTGCCTATGAAACTCATTGAATCTGATCAAATATTTTAAAGACATATAACTATTCGACCAACTTTGAATACTCTTAATGTGCTACTATGTGGTCCTGAGTGAAATTATTGTGAGTGCTAATAGCCTATGACTTTTTCAATAATAATAATACATTGAGTGGACAAGTAAATAGACAAAGTTGTCGGTATTGCGCTACTCAAAATCCAAATTAGCCAAGAAAGTCGCACACCCAATATCCGCAAAAGATTTGAGGAAACCTTAAGTGGAAAGAGATATTTAAATTTTTTCAAAGCGATGTCATTCCTTCCATCCCGTTAATGTTGACACAACTCAATTCCAATGGCAGTTATTCCAACAAGATAGCGCGCCACTACACTTCAAGAAGCTTTACTAACTCAGTTTTTGACACTCAGGGAATTGTTTAGAATAATTGGTTACCATAGTTACTCATGGCTACTGCTATTTTTATCATTATATAAATTTGAAGTAATTAAACTTTAAAGTAATTTTTCTCGAAAATTTTCTTATGTAACCAATATTTCTATTGACTGTACTAGATTTAGAAGAAAATCCTCTTTCATATTCCGCAATAAATATGGGGGATTACCATTTAAAAAAAATATCGATGACGCCATAACTCGTTTAAAAATGGCGGAAAAAATAAAAAATTTGAAATCTACACCAAAAAATTGCAAAAAATTTAAATCTTTAGACCTTTAGATTTTATCGCCTATATCCATTACTTTACGGACACTCTGTGTATGTACATAGCTTATCAGAAAAGCAGAAGCAGGAAATAAAAGAGCTATTTTGTCAGCAAGTGAAACAGCTATACGATACGATAACTTAGAACCATAGAAAAACACAGCTTACATGATGAGACTAACGAAAACGGAGAATTTGTGATTTGATTTGCAGCAGGAAGGAACATGGTTATCAGAACAACATGAATCCCACATGGGAGTATACATACTCACATACAAACGACATGGATCTCATCAAACGGTATCACCAAGAAGCAAATAGACTATATGTTAATAGATAAAAAATTTGTATCAAGTATCGTAGAAAACAAACATAGAAAACTAGATATTGCAAAAGCTGAAAACACCGGAAACACAATGCAGGTTGAAGGAGGAAATAAAAGTAGAGATAAAGGTATAATTCTATTAAACAGCACTACCTCTAAGTCCTTTAAGGTTGAAAAGCGCATAAGACAAGGATGTATAATGTCCTCAACGCTACGAGTATACTATCCAAGAATTATATCGAGTTAGAAAAAATGCTCCAACTGATTACTAACCAAAGTCGCACACTGGGGTTGGAAATAAATCTCGCTAAATGTAAACTAAGGATAGTAGACAAAAGCAAAATCCTCCAAATACAGCACCGCCCACCACAAATCCAACCTGTTCCTGAGTTTGTTTATCTCGAATCTTCAGTAACAGTACTTATGAGCCAGAAATAAGACGAAATCCCTACAAACAACATTAAAAGAAATAACAAATCAGTGCACCTAAACACTATAGAGTCACGATTAAGAAGAAGAAATAAGAAGACTTACAATTAGAGAGAAATATAATAGTGCAAATGCATAATAAATCTAACAGTGACATTTTGAATAAAAAGAGATTTTGGAATATAAAATACAGCGAGAATTGCCAAGGCTTCGAAGAGTTGATCCGATTAAGGTAGTAAACGTGAGTCAAAATGTTATAGAGGTTTGAGCATACTAAGTTTATGGATGGCATAAGTGACAAAATAGTACAGACAATAATTATTGAAGAAATTATTGCAGATAGGACAAGAAGCATATCTAGAATTTATCGATTTAGAGAACGTATATGACTCCATTCCAAGGTGCAAACTGTACCAAGTGTTAACTACTACTCAAATAAACCCTCATTTAATAGACATTACAAAGTGTCTACACATAGTCAATATCACCTACATATATAAAAAAGGAAAAAAATTGTCTGAACAAATCAACACCACGAAAAGACTAAGAAAAGGGTGTAATTCGTCACCATTTCTGTTCAACAGTGGGACATGCGGGATAACCTTAATAAAACAATATTTTCTAGTTAATTCGGGCGCGGTATTTGAAGTAGTAATTAAGCACGTCACGGCAATTAAGCAAATTGAAAATTTCAAATACCTTACGTAAATGAGGTATCATTTACGTAAGGTATTATATCGTCAACCAAAACGAACAAAATAAGAGCTGCAAGATGCTGATATCGAACCGAAACAATAAACGAATAGGGCAGGCCTGTATAGAATCAATACTATAATATGGAAGTGAGGTTAGAAGTGATGAGATAAGAAATAGAATAGATGCGAAAATAACAGTGCTTGACAGAATAGAAAGGAAGGGTTTAAATTAGATTGGCCACGTAACGAGGGTGCCAAAAGATAGATGGCCGAAAAGAATATTT